AATCATTATAAATAAATAAATAAATAAATAAATAAATAAATAAATAAATAAATAAATAAATAAATAAATGCCTACCGTGGGTGAGGTGAGCCGCTTCAGGCTCTCCCCCAGCGAGTCCAGGTTCACCCGTCTCCGCCTGGTCGCCCTCTTGTGGGGTACGCAGGGTCCCCGCTGCTCGTCGCCCGCCGGGCACACCGGCCTCTCGCCGGGGCCGCGGCCGTTCCAGAGAGCCGCTCTGTGGGCCGACGGGAAGGAGGCGAAGGGGCAACCTCGGCTCTCGTCCGCCGGCTCCAGGGCGCCATCCCCCGCGTCTCCCCCGGGGCTCTCGAGCCCGCAGTCCGAGCCCACCGAGCTGCTGAACGACTCGGATGAAATCTTGCGCGACGACGAGGACATGTTGAGGAAGAGGAGGATGATGATGATGATGGCAGCGCTGAGGAAGACGATGCTACAGCAGCAGGCTCCGTACCACGTCCACCTGCGCGCCGGGGAGTCATCAGATACTGGGGTGAAAGGGTTAGATGGGTGACAGGCGGGAGGTTCTGTTTTTTATTTTTTATTTTTTATTTTTTTAGGAGCGCGTGTGGGATGTGTGCGTCTGTGTGCGCTCGCGCCCGGAGATGCGTGTGCCTGCGTCTCCTATTCGGATGGAGAAATGGGGTCGGCCGAGAACGAGAGCACTAATGGTACGCAAACATTTATGTAAGGAGGAGGAGAAGGTGGTGGGGGGGGGGGGGTATCTCCTCTATTTAAAAAAAAAAAGGAAAGAAGAAAAACAGCCCTCATTTAACCCTGAAGCGAACCCACTTTGCTCCCTGAGAGCTAAAACTCTCTCCAGCAGACCGACGTCTCCAGGGATTGGACAGAGGCGTAAAAAATGTCATCCCACCCTAGCAACAGTTTTTAGCTGCAAGCAAGAAAAAAGGTCGCATTTAGAGAAAACTGGACACTATGGTCCATCGTCTTGACGCACCGTACATCTCCCCCCCCTCTTACCCGGGGTAAATTAGTAAGAATGTGGGAAAAGTCCATCCTCTGCTGCTCGGAAGAAAAACCCTCCTCCTGTTCCTCTCTGCGACAGACCGCGCTTCTCCTCCACATTCTGACGTCCTTTCGTCACTCGTCCATCCTTCACCGAACCAGTTTCGCTCGCTTTTGTTTTTTTAAAGGGTTTTTTAGCTAAAGTGGGTAAAGGCGTCGACAGGAGTGTGGCTATAATAACGTGCGCGAGAGAGATGAGCACCAGAGAGAGAGCGCGCGCGGTCAGCAGTCAGCAGCGTGCACCGCAGGTGTGCAGCGGCACAGCTCCAGAGGTGGAAAAGTGACAAAGTAGCCCACAAATACTTCCGTTAAACTATTGTGTCTTTTAGAAAATGTTGATTTGAGGAGGTCATCTCCCAATGAATGTCCTTTTTTGACATTTTAACAACTCACTTTTACTTTTAGCCTAGGGGGTGCTCAAGCGTTTTGGGTCTGGGGACAAGGGTGAAAAAGTTCCAGGGACCCCCTTATAAACATGCTGTTTTTAAAACAGTTTACTGTCATTTTATCTCCTAATTGTCATGAGAATATTATTATTTTTTTTTTTGGTTTGGGTTTGTTTTACTAGTGTGTTGTGCCCATATGCATTTTTTTTAAAAATTTAAATCAAATGAACAATTTATTGAACATGTTAGATCAGTGGTTCCCAAACTTTTTGTCTTCTGACCCACAAAATATCCATGGCAAAAACTTGTGACCCCAAATATTACTGGTCTGAGTACACAAACTTCGTTAATAACCCTAAAAACACAAGCTTTTTGACAATCTAAACAGCTTGTACACAAATATAAATACTTATTTATAGTCATTTTGTGTTTTTTGTAACAG